AATAAGCCTGGCGTGGTGGTGGGTGCCTGTAATCCCAGCTACTTGGGAGGCTGAGGCAGGAGAATAGACTGAACTCAGTAGGCGGAGGTTGTAGTGAGCTGAGATACACCACTGCATTCCAGTCTGGGCAACAAAGTGAGACTCCTTCTCCAAAAAAAAAACAAAAAAGCAAGGATGTTGGTGAGGAGGGAGGCAGGCTCAGGGCGTCCAAGATTTCTTGTTCTCTGTCCAGCCTTTCCCCCAAGGCCTTCAGCCCTCAGCCGTCTCCATTAAGCAACAGCTCTCCACTGGGCTGTGTCCACAATGAGATTCTGCTTTCTCTGGAAGTTTCTTTTCCCGTTCCCACCCTCAGAGAGACACTCAAAAGAAGGACACCAGACCAATTTCACCTTCAGCTCACAAGCCTCAAATCTTGGATTAGGGAAGACATTCCTAATTCAAACAACCACTGGTACTCTCTGGATGTGACTTAATTTTGATTCACCAAAATAGAGTCATCATATCCATAAGTTTTCCCTTTTGTTGACTTTGGCCAAACTCTCCATGAGGGTTAATGTCATGTGTCAACTTGGCTGGGCCATAGTGCCCAGATATATTTGTGGTCAGACATTATTCTGGATGTTTCTGTGAGAGTGTTTTGGGATGAGGTTCACATTTAAATCAATGGACTTTGAATGAAGCAGTGTGCATTCCCTAATGTGGGTGGGACACATCTAATCAGTTGAAGCCTGAAGAAAACAAAAGACCAACCTCCCACAAGGAAGAAGGAATTCTCCCACAGACGGGCATTGGACTTGAACTGCAGCTTGAACTTTTCCCTGGATCTCCAGCCTTCTAGCCTGCCCTGTAGATTTTGGACTTGCCAGCTTCCATAATTACATGAGCCAATTCCTTAACATAAATCTATTTTTCCATATATATGTATGTATATATGTATGTATGTATGTATGTATAGACATACACACATCCTATTAGTTCTGTTTCTCTGGGATGCCCTGACTAATATATTCCCCCTGTCCAGCAGACTCCAGATATTACCACAAAATGTCCTTCTTGAGAGAGCTGTGTGAACATGGTTCAGCATCAACCAGGAGGTGCTAGAAGAAAGCAGGCGATTTGTGGCCCTGGTTGTACAAGTGCTCCTGAGTGACATGGTGCTCAGCGGGGAAGGACCCTAGGGCAGCCGAAGCTTCTTTCAATGTCACATTCCCTGAGCACCTTTGGGCATCCTGGTCCATTGAAAACACACCCAAACAGGATATGTGGCAAAGATTGGGTACTACTTATAAAGTCAGCCTTCATTCGCAAGACCACTTGGGACACACAATAACCTGTCCCAAGAATCCACACTCAAGGCTGACATCCTTGATGGAAGCCACGTAGAACATGGTTAGGGATGAACCTCAGGAATCAGGAACCCAGGAATTACCATGAGGGTGATGTCCCCTGAGTCCAGGATGTGCTGCAACATCCCAGGGAGCGTAGCAAGGACAGAGAATGCACCATACACCGCGTTTTCCATCAGATAGGAGAGCTCACCTTCACTCTGAGAAGGGGAGATTTGCAGTTCCTTAGCATACCTGCTGTAAATCTAATTTCTTTTGAATTTAGTAGAAAGAAATTGCAATTAAAAAGAACAAGAGCAAGATGCACCTGCTTTGGGCTCTTGAGTGATGTGTGACGTATATCAGGGAAGATGGCTCTGCCTTAGAAAAACCCAGTGGGCGTGGGTGGGCTGGAAGTACCTGCTGTCTCCATCCAAGAGTTTGGGCAGAATGGAACAGGCAGGCTACAGGGCTCTGCATAAAGATAGTATTAGGATGTTAAAGTTTTTGCTGGAAGTTAAAGAAGCTGGGGCATCAGTTGGTCTGAAATGGGGACGGGGCAAAAAGAAAGGGCCTCAAAGGGACTTTGAGGGACATCAGGGTCCTAGTGCACTGGGGCCAATGGAGTTCTGGCAAATGAAGTCTCAGAACATCTATATCTTATGTTTAGCTTGAAAATCTCTCTCCTGAGCAGTGCTGTGTTCCCTCTTTCTCTCATCCTCTGTGACGTTTGCTGTGCAGAAGAGCTCTGCTTAGCAATGTGTTAGAGGATAAAGGAACGAGGGAAGGTGGTATGGTGAGAGAAGACAGGAGCAAGAGGCCACCAAGGATATGCAAGCCCACCCATTCCTGCAAATGTTGGGGATGCTGGTTTTCCCTTAATGTGAGGGAAAACCCTCTGCTGGCCCCAGGGGAGAAGGTCATGTTGCAAGCCAGCAAGATGGAGGACCACAGGATGCCAGCAATGGTTACTCATGGAATCTTGGAGATCACTGCCCTCCCGCCACATGGGGCCTGAGTTTCCAGAGGCATCTCCAGCTGTGGGTTGAGTGAGATCATATTTATGTAATCAATCTAATGTCCAGCTCTCAGGCCTGGCCTGGTGCACAGCCTCTAGCCCTCCACCATGGCCCCCATCCTGGGGTCATCCAGACCCTTCCACCCTGGCCCATGGCTGACATCCACCGCTGTGAGACCACTTGTTGTCTCAGGAGGGCAACAAGGAAACTTCACAGGGACTCCAGCTTCATGCAGGTGGGGAGAGTAGCTTCTGCCACCCAGTGTCAGGGTACCATGTCCTGCCCCTCTGGGAATACAGGTCTCCCTGCTGCTGCCTCTAACCCTTCCTTTTTAGGGCTGGGCACTCTTATAGAACCCAGCATGGCCTTGACAACTTGCAACTCCTCATGCACTGTTATCTCCGAAATCCATTGCTGTGTCCCCTCTATTTGCATCGCCTTACCCTGGTACATGCTCTGCCCCCACCCCACCTCCCACATTCGGACCTCAGCAATAGCCTCCTCAGTCTCCTCAGAGAGCATCATGAGGGCCAGGTGCTGACCAGCTGCTGCCTCACCATCATGACCCCTTTTGGCTTATTGGGGTGCTCCCAAGCCATGCCACAGCCATGCTCTTGTGGCTCTTTTCTCTAGAAGCACTGGGTATATTTATGGTCACATATTTAGAATTATTGGGTTAGTGTCTGCCTCTCCCACCTGGCCAGGGTTCCTGATAGAGTGGACCCCCACCTGTTCTGCTCACTGCTGAATTCTAAGTGACAAGGACCATACACAAACCTCCTCCTGCCAGCCAGTTCTCCCTGCATGCCAGGACACACAATCATGTTTATCTGACTCCTGATGTCCCTTAGTCCAGCCTGAGACCCTGGCACAGCACTGAGGACACTGAGACCTCCAGGACCCACGAACATTACCCACAGTCACATGGAGGTGAATGGTAGAGCTGGCTCTGAAGCCTTGGTCAGTGCTGTCACTCAGTCTTCTTCCCATCATGCAAGGGAAAGCCACACAGTGCAGGAACAGGAATGCTTAGAGTGGCCAAATTAGTGAGACCAGAGCCTGCTGCCCTTGTGCACACAGGCTGCTGCCGACTCACCCTCCAGCCCATTTATCCAGTTGTAGCTCCTGCCTTTAGCTCCAGGACTCTTCCGCTGGGTTCCTGCTGCCTGGGTGGTGCCCTCCCTCCCAGGTTCTAGGAGTGGAGGAACTGGGGGACCAGCAACCCCTACCGTGGTAGTGTATCCTGGCCAGACCAGGCAGGGTGACATGGGCCAGAAGCGGGAGCCACCACCCAGTGGTCCTCTCCAGACCCTGGAGCTATAAATTTGACTGAGCTCAGCCGTTTCCTGCTGAGTGTAGACATGTTTCTGCCATTGCTGGGCCTTCTATTATGACACCCAACACAGTCATAGTTTTGGATTAAGGTAGTTTGAGTTGGCGTTTTCTGTCACTTTTTGACTGGAGGAGTCCTAAACAGATATATATATACCATGGTTTCTAACTGCCATCTGCAAGGGGATTAAAGACCCCTTTCATTTGTCCCCACATATTCCCAGATGAAATATTCAGATAAGGGCTGGGACACACGCCGCGTCTTGGATTGGATGAATTTTGCTGGGAGCTGCCCCTGTGAAGGGGAGAGTCAGGGACGAGGCTGCTTCTTACGGCCTGATCTGTCTGGGCTGAGCCCCACTGCATGTCAGCTGCTTTCCAGTGTTTCACTGTTTTGAGCCTGCTGTGTGGATCATTTGATTACCTAGAAATTGCTGTGACAAAATTAACTTTACTGGCTGTCCTATAGACACAAATCAACCTCTTCCCTAACCAGCCTCATTTCCACAAGTGGCTCAGAGGCAATCATCCATAGAGAGGCTGCTCTCTCTTTTACAAATTCACAAGGGAAATTTTGTCCCCAAAGACAGAGCGGGAGTGGAGTATGATACACACTCATCTGGAAGCCGAATGTCTGACCGAAGTCAGTGGAAATCAATGAGTCTCCCACAACAGAAGCTGGGTAGCTGGCTTCCCTGGCTGTCATGGCTGCTGTCCAGATGCCTAAATGGATATATTTAGCTCTAAGAGTTTGAATGACACTTACCCATTTCTGTCTACCCAGAACACTGAATTGTTAGAGAAAAAAATGATCTTTACTTTGTGCGTATAAAGTATAGGCTCTGGTTGGTTCCGGTGGCTCATGCCTGTAATCCCAGCACTTTGGGAGGCTGAGGCGGGCAGACCACGATGTCAGGAGTTCGAGACAGCCTTGGCGAACACGGTGAACCCCATCTCTACTAAAAATACAGAAATTAGCTGGATGTGGTGGTGGATGCCTGTAATCTCAACTACTCAGGAGGCTGAGGCAGGAGGATCGCTTGAACCTGGGAAGCGGAGGTTGCAGTGAGCAGAGACTGTGCCACTGCACTCCAGCCTGACTGAAACCCCATCTCAAAAATAAATAAATAATTAAAAAATAAAGTACAGGCTCTGTGTGCATGTGGGCCTCTCTTCCGACGATAATCCTGGGGGCTAGGTGCTAAATTCCCAATCTACAGAAGATGAGATGAAGCACAGAGAGGCTGGGTAACTTGCTAAAAGTCACACAGCTGGGAGGGGTGGTGCTGAGATGTTAGCTCAATGACCCACCTCAGGGGTCCACACTCTTACCCATGACACCATGTAGTCCCCCTGTGGTGGCTGTGAGCTGGGCCAGATGGGCCGAGACTCCAGGCTGGGTCTACCTTGCACCATCCCCATGATCTGGGCAATTCATTTAGTTCATACAAAGACCAGGACTTTCAGCAGTGACGGGGCTCCAATGCAAAGGTAGATAAGAGAGATTTGTAAATGGCGAAAAGCCACACCCAGCGGTGTTACTGTAGCAAGGAGCACTGCACAGAAAACCAAATACCACATGTTCTTACTTACAGGTGCAAGCTAAACATCGACTATGCATGGACAAAAGGATGAGAGCCATAGACACTGGGGAATGCTAGAGGGGGAGGGAGGAGAACGTAGACTGGAAAAATACCTATGGGGCACTATGCTTGTTACTTGCGCGATAGGATCTGCACCTCAAACCTCAGCATCATGAAGTATACCCATGTAACGAACCTGCATGTGCACCTCCCGAATCTAAAATAAAAGTTAAAAAAAAAAGCACTGCAGTCATGTCTTGATTAAGGCACCAGCCTCCCGTTTTGGGGAGAGGGAAAGAACTAGAGCCCCCACTATGTGAACAAGCAGGCTCAAATTACCCAGTGAGTTTGTTTTTACTGAGGAGAAGTGTATCTGTGGCTATACGGAGGTAATTGCATGTCCCTTCTCCCAGATGAACAGACGCAGTGTTGAGGATGATGGTGCCCTGCTATTTGGTGGCCTCTGATGAAGGAGGCAGGTGCTCCCCAGAAGAGCAGAATTGCTCACTGTATTCCTCACAGCCCCTCCCTTGGCTGTTGTTCTTTATTTACCCAGTACAACTTGGAGCATTAGCCAGGGTAGGCTATATGCTAGGTGCATTTGTTGGCTTGGGCTGCCATACAAACCCACTGCAGACTGGGTGGGCTTATACAACAGACATTTGTTGGTATTGATGTTCTGCAAGCTGGAAGTCCCAGATGAAGGTGTTGGCAGGGCTGGTTGCTCTGAAGGTTCCAGGAGAGCATCTTTCCCGGCTTCTGGTAGTTCCTTGGCTTGTGGCAACATCACTGCAATTTTCACCTGGTGTTCTCCCTGTGTGCCTGTGTGTCCACATTTTTCATAAGTACACCAGTCATATTGGAGGAGGGGCCCACGATACTCCAATATAACCTCATCTTAACTAATTACATCAGCAATTACCTTATTTCCAGATAAGGCCACATTCTGAGGTGGGGATTAGGACTTCGGCATATGAATGGTGGTGAGAGGGGAATACAATTCAACTTTTGACACCCACAGAGAGGACACCCTGCAATCACTTCATTATATCTCAGATAATTTCCCTGTTATGCCTGATGCAAACTGCCCATTTGAAGGCCTTCTCCTTCCAATCTGGCAAATGCAGAGACAGTATTAACATATTTGCAGCTCAAGTTCATGCCACGGACAATAACAATTTTGGACTCTTATCCCTTCCAGGGTTTAACAACACAAGTTCGAGTAGCCCCAGATTCCCACCAGAATCTGGTCCTCTCTGTGCCTTGGGGCCAGCTCTAGAGCATCTCTAGATCTCAGCTTCTTCATCAACAAAATGAAGGTAATGAAATCTGCCTTCCAAGATGCCACGGGCATCATTGAGAAGCACAGACATGAGAATGACATGTAAACCACGCTACAGCATGTAGCCCTGGACACTATTAGGACAAGCGTGTGTGGCAGTAAGCAAGGGGCACTGTACCTGGAGTGAACCTCTTTCCATCCAAACCCTAATCTAAATCCTTATAAGCTCGTTTGGAAGCAGTTGCTGCCAATTTCTTTCTTTCTCCTTCTTTCTTTCTTTCTTTCTCTTTCTTTCTTTCTTTCTTTCTTTCTTTCTTTCTTTCTTTCTTTCT